AGTTTTGTGCCAAAGGGGTGTGTAAAGTTCATAAAAGACTTATGCGAGATAATAGTTATAAGAATTGTTAATTAATTTCTATAAAGGAAATAAAAAATTAAATAAACAATAGAAATAAAATTAAAATTAAATAATGGCAAAAGGAATACTAATATTGTAAAGCAAGTTTAATCATGAATTTAGTTTTGAAAATCTTTTCAGAGACTTGCGAAAGGTAAACAACCCCAGGATAAAGACTGATACCATTTGGCATTGCAGTATTTAACAGTGCTATCCAATAAGCTACTTTAATTTCCCTGTTTCTGTTATAAGTAAAAATTTGTCTCTATACCTACAAGTTTAATGTCTTCAAGAGTGTGTCCAGGCATGTTAAAGTGTTTTGCTAACAGAAGTTTAAATAATTGTTTCAAGGCAGATGTACATGGTATATTGTTAGCTTTCTCAACTTGTTGGGTGATAGTGTTTTGTTTATAACCTCTTTCAGTCATAGTCTGTTTCAAAGAATTAATGTGACGGTCATAGTTCTTACTATCAGAGCACATCTTCTTTAATCTAAGTGCTTGACTGAATGTGATATTGCATTTGGTGTGTGGAGGGTGGCAGCTTTGATTACGCAAGTATTGTTTTGAAAATATAACATTCTGTTTAACATTGAAGTACATACTAGCATTAAATGGAGTCTATTACATTTCATATACAAGTACCTACCTATTTGGCAAAAAACATTTTAACTACAGTAATAACACAGATGATAACATTAGGTTAAATTCACAAGCTCATAACTAAAGGAAAAAATGTTTCTACCAAAGAACAAGTTTTAACCTGGGTTTCCAAAGATTATCTCTATCATTCAAATTTCTAGGTCCAGGTGTGTGTGTCTTAAAAACTTACTGGCATTTACTACACACGATTAATCAAGTTATTAACAATGATAAGAGTACCTTCAAGCAGATTAATTTTGCTGTAAGTACATGTAAAAGCAAAATTATCACTATGGAAAACTACTTTGAGGAAAATTGACTGGTAAGTTTGTCATCTTCTTACGAAGGTGATAATTGTTTACAGTTACCATTACCAGAGCTAGTAATTGGCTCTGTTACAGAAACTAGGCAGCTGAAATTTCTAATAAAGATTTTATCTTTGATTGTATTAAAAAATGTTTTTGATTTTCTTTTAATAGACTCATTGAAGTCATCCATAAACAAAAATAAGCTCACAAAAAATCTCAACTTAAGTACAGTGTTTCACTATCATATACAATTGTACTTAATAAAATAATTTTGAAATGTCATGCCTGGATCAATTAGAAAAGTAGAGATGAGGAACTTTTATGTATGAGAGCAAAAATTATTTTGAACATCTACAAGTAAATGCTTGTACTATGAAAGTGGTGAGGGACTATCTTTAACATAACATACAGACAACAGGACCACTTGCTTCTTCAAGGTGATCTTAAGTGTCCATTGTAATGATATTACTCAAATTGTAATACAATACCTGATATAATGTTATGCACTTTTGGACTCTACGCATATCTGTTATCTCATTTCTGTGGATTGTACTGACTGTTCTGAGTCATGCACGTGCTGACAGATCATCCCAAGTTTAAAATTTGGAAAATACAGGCTGGACACCAATTGAGACATTTATTTTTCTAACAGGGTGATTGGCTTTATTGAATTATTGCTGTTGGCACTATACAAGAGTTTAAAAGGGTAATTGATAGCTTCTTGGGAAATAAAAGTGGTTTTAAATTTTTCTTTTTCCTAAGGGTGGTTATGAAGGGAATGCCTTGAAGGACCAAATGCTCCCTTGACAGTATGTTATGTTGGAACTCTTATGTATATGCCCATTAGTAAAAAGTTTAAGAAATAATATTAATACATTTTAGTTATAAAAAAACAAAACAATATAAATAAAGTGTAATAACAATATTGAAGTTAACTTAAATGACTCCACTTGCATTCAAGAAATTGCACCTTATTACAGACAAGTGGGGGTAGTGGTGTATGAAGAGTATCAAGTTATAGTTATTCAAAAAATCTTGGATCTGGGTTGCTCATTTACCATAATAAAAAAATTATATCAAGCAAAGGAAATATTAAGTTGCAAGTAGACCTATTTTAGATTGCAAAATGCAATGCAGTACAAGGCAAATTATTCCCTGAATTCTGTAGTGTAACTAAAAGAAAAGAATTTTGGTGCTACTATAGCATGAGGTCTACCGCCATATGTCACCTACCCAGGTGCAGCCTGAGGTCTATCGCGTGACCTGCACCTGTCCATCAAACATGTGACGTGCCCAAATCCATCAAGAACGTGATCTGTCCGCGTGACCTGCCTATATAAAAGGAGGCAAATGATATATGATAACGTTTATTTTTACCTTTCTTCCTTTAATATAAATTTAATTAGAAAACCAATTATCTATTTAAGTCATTCCTAGGATATGTACAAATTAAGTGTTTATCGCTAAAATAAATGTATGGAAATGTGTCATATTCATGAGGGATGGATAATGCAGCGGTAGACCTCACGCTATAGTACTAACGGGAGGTAGACCTCACGCTATAGTAGCACCAGAATTTTGGCATAAGTTACTCAAACCATCAAAGCAGCATTCTATTACTAGTAGCAAAGCTAACAGATTAAGATGTATTTACATGTATATACATAATGATTGCAAGTTAACAGAGGTAATTATCTCTTCGTAAAAATTGCTAGTTAGGCCTCACATGTAATAATGTTATAATTTTGGTCATCTTATCTAAGAAAGGATAGTAACTTGTTTGAAAGGGTTTAGAGGAGGGGCCACTAAGGTGATCCAGGTGATAGAAAAGTTATCTTATAAGTCCGATAGGTTAAGACCAGAAAATCGACTGAATAAAGGCCTCTGATTTCTTTGTGTTGTGTTCTGAAGACAATAGAATGAGAGGATTTTGTAAAGGTAAGTAATGTTCATTTTGCTATTAATAATGCTGAATAAAAATGTTTTTAAGGCATTAGGCCTAAATTATGGTTGCTGTTTTTAATTCAAGAACAAGATTGATTTCAGTTGTGTAATATAAGTATATCTTGGATAAAAAAATAGCCTATGTGAGTAGACCTAGTAAGGAAAAACAATGTACAGTAGCATTGTCAAGGTTAAGAATTCATAAAAATATTGTGTAGTAGTAGTAGAAGAATATTATTTTACAGAAAATAGATTTTGAACATTTTTCTCAAGATTAAAGTAATTTTATGCAGTATTTTTTAAAGATTGTGCTAAGAAAAGTTTTTCAACTGCTATGCAAAGTTATTTTGAGTAGCAATTGCTGTTATATAAAATATTTGAAACAAATTTCTCTGGAGAATAAGTTCCCATCTACATAAAAATATCATCCAAATTATGGTAACCCAAATGCATTATCCTGCACATTTGCCATAATTAAATATTATGTGCCGATTATTTGTCCAACTAACCAACTGACCCAACAAATGATACAACAATTTGGGATTAAGCTATTAAACTGATTACATTAAAATGTATCATTATTGCAACATAGTACAAAATCTATAACAAACTAAAAATACGATTAATACCATAACGTGGATATTTCCCTACAAATGTTCCCAAGATAGCCCTTCTAGAACTACTTAATTTGTTTTGATGAAAAGCAAGATTACTTCATGACATTGATTATACCTAAGAAAAATAGTAACCATAACAGTGACAAGTGAGGTTACTAGTAAGTACATATTATAATAAATTACTACACTTAGTTCTGGGGATCAAGTCTGATTTTATACTAACATAGCTATATCAAGGTGATCGAGCATGTAGATACATCGTGTGCATCTCTACTGTACAAAGGGACAATAGACTTCACAGCATGTGCCACTTCACTGGTTAGAATTAGAGGACAAGATTATCACAAGTATAAAATTAGTCATTATTTTGTACAAAATAATATCCCATGCAAAGTGAGCTAAAAAACTTATTTTGAATCAGCCAAATGCTAATTTCACAGTTATTTTTAGCGAGTCATGACACAAATCCATTTAGCTGAACAAACCTGATTTAATCTAAATTAATGATGAGAAATCATAAGGGTAACATTTTGCTTACTTGAAAAGTTGGAATAACTGTAAACAGTAATAAACATGCACACTAATTTCTATTAGTTGTTTATTTTCCTGACATTGATAGATTTAACTGTAATTTCAAATAATCAATAATTATGACACTAATCAATATGATCAATGCACAGGTTAAACTGATTATTCAAGTTAATCACCCAACTTTATCCATCATCCAGATAACATGCAACATCCCTGAAGGCATTTAATATGTTAGAAAAGGAAGATTTCACTTTAGTGAATCCAAATTGATTTTCTTTAATGATATTGCATTTTAGTAGATGATTTTGCAAAGCTGTTTTTATTAGACTAGAACTTTTCCCTCTACAGAAGTAAGACTAACTCATCTCTAATTTCCATGGCAACTGTTATCAACCCTATCCCCATTTAAAAGTAGGATATATAGAAGCAATTCTCCAATCCTTCTAGTGCCTACCAAAGAGAAAGGCTTGCATATTGGATCCTTGACCAGCTTTAAAATGCTGGGAAAAAACTATTTGGTGCTGGTACTTTATATTTAATCTCTCAGTCATTTTTCTTACCACCAAGATATTAACGTCTACATGATTCAGGTTAATCCCAATATTTCCTATATAATGATGAGGTTTAGGAATATTGCTAATATCCTCTCTTGTGAAAAAAAAAAAAAGATTTAGAAGCTCAACCATCTCACACCATAAAAAATCTTATCATCAGCATCCTCTAAGCACCCAACTACCATTTTAACATTTTGCTTACCATTAAAATCCTTACATTAGCTCTAACATTATAAGCCAGCTTTTTGGGGCTTCTTTTTCCCCTCACAACTAATGTTCGTCTCTCACATGAAGTACATACGAGGCTTTTCTACATTTCTGTACTCCAAATATATAAAATTATACTTCTCAATATCATTAAAGGGATCACAATATGGGAAATTAGTTTAATATTATTAAAACCAATTTTCCATATTGTGATCCCTTAATTAAGACTTGGTTAATACACTACCTTTCCAAGACAAGCAACCTCAACAAAATTGGCCCTTAACAGCATTTTGTTATCAGCAGTGAATCGACAATTTATTGTTGTAATGATATCCAAACTGTTTAAAAAAAACGAGATTCCACCAGTCACATTTTCACTACTCAGAAAAATGCTCATATATGACAGTTCTACTATCTGCCATTAACTGATTAAGTCAATTTTCAATCCAACTTTTAACTCTCTTTGCCAATTCTAATACAATTTACTAATTACAGATGTAAACACTACAACAGAGAATTCATCATATTCTTTTTGTGTTACAGAACGGTAAGTATTAAAAATCGGCAAGTGTAAACTCAAAGGTAATATAAATAATTACAAATATAAATTTATAATTATTATAGCTTCGTATATAATAATTAAAGTTATACGTAATCCCTCATGTCAAATACTTACTAAACAATACTCATTAATAGTAATAGTATTACTGTATAAATAATACTAACGTTAATAATATTAATAACTAATATGTTATAAGTTATATATAACGTGCTTACTAAAGTAAAGATTCAAATTGACATTAATGATTAAGCTTATTCAAGTTGTTGATAACAGAACGATAAAATAATTTATGCAATTAACACTTTTAGTTTTATTACATAAGACACAAATAACAGCAAAATATTACCTACCATTCCTTCCACCAAAAACTCGTCAAAAAGCTTTCAGTTAAATTCACGAGAAATTAACTTAACTTCGTCCAAACTACTATAAAACTATCACTAACCTGCAACACCACCAAACACGAGCCCTGTTATTCATACCGACTTATAACACACTCGAAACATGGCCACCTGCAAGCTTTTGCTGAACATATTTTAAAAATTAATTAGAAAGTACACACCCTGAATTGAACTCATACTTACATCTGTTTATCTAACAATGACCTTTTAAGTTTTATATGTTTTAAAATATTTCGTCATTAGGTACTTCAACACGTGTTATAAGTAATTATTATGAAAAATATTGAATGTAATGTTTGCAATGATTGAAATATTTATTTTATATTATTTAATGGTTAAACCTGATTGTTTCACTACGTTTATTTTGACTTTTAAAAGTAAACAAATATAGGTTCACCCAATCTTTATTTATTTATAAAGTGGTTTTTCCAAATCCCACCCCAAGTAGCAAGTCTCAAGGCCTTTAACGCTAATAACTGGGTTTCAATATCCGTGGTGGGCGCAACACAGATAATCCATTGTGTAACTTGTGCTTAACCACAAACAAATAAACAAACAAAAATTCAAATTCCGAACATGATTCATCTTGTTATGTCCTTAACGTTGTAGTTCACCTAGCACAAAAAATAAGTGCTATTTTGTGTCAACATTTATGTGCTTAATATAACATAACATAATATTTTGGGACAACATTTCGGCTGTTCCATTCTCAAAACTAAATTAAAATGATTAAAAATAATAATAATAAAATTTTAAACCCAACCATTTTCATTCATATACTTATCAAGCTTTTCCTTAAA